TACTGATCTTCATCAGTGGGTTCATACCACTGGGTATTCTGAAGAAACAAGGGGGAGATTAGTTTGCCCACTCCATACCCACTTCCCATACTTTCTTGGGTCAGTATTCTATCACTTGGGTTTCTGGCTATCCAGGTATTATAACCCAAGATATCTGTCCCAGTTCTAAAGCTTTCACATCTTGCCCTTGTTCTTTCTGCTTCAGTCATCCAGTCCAGGAAAATAAGTCATGCCCTGTACAAACTTGACATGTGATAACATTGTTCACCCACTGGAAGGATCAGATGCCCTACCACCACTAGTGAAACACTAGCATTATGATACTCCTTGTTCCCACCCCTCACCCCTGTGGAATCTCATAGAAGAGAGCATTCTGGTGAAGCATCATCTCCAGATTTGAGTCAGAGAGCCCTACCTAGGGTACTATAATGGTCTGAGCCATGGACCACTCCCCAACATACACTCTAAGGGGAAAAATGAAAAAAAAATTGTTGGGAATCACTGAGCTTGGGATTTGACAGACACAGCCTTTTCAGGTTGCTGCCTGGTACTGCCATTTATCCTTCAATAGTTCACTCAGTTGCCATTCTCCTGACTAGATGGCTGTGCTATTGTCAACAACTCATGACTCAGTGAAATTGAAGTGGGGGGGCCACTGTAAATAGTTTGGTCCATTGGGCCAAATGTCCATGATCAGTCTTAGTCAAAACATGGCCAACCATTGACCAGATGGTATATGCAGCTTAGTGGACCCCATCTATGTTTAGTTTCACAAAGCTTTCAATAAACCATGCCATGGTAGGCATGATTCTGAATCTTTGGTTCCAGATAGCCACAATTCTTTGAATTTGGGGGCTCTTGCCTATAGGGAGAGATCTCAAACAAAGGGGACCCCTCTTAGTACCAACCTTCATTAGGTGATGCAGATAAAGTGCTTCCTATACTTTTCTGTGTGGCCATCTTCAGTTTTGGGGCCTGTTATGGTTTAGATGTATTATTGGGTTATGAGACCCTTAACCTAATCAGTAAATTAATCCCCTAATGGGGATTAACTGAGTGGTAATTTAAGGATGGTAAGGTGTGGCTAGAGGAAGTGGGTCCCTGGGGGTATGGCTTTGGTATATATATTTTGTATCTGGCAAGTGGAGTTTCTCACTCCGCTTCCTGATCATCATGTTGTTATGGAAGGCACAAGAATTATAGACCACCACGCTAACTGAGCCAAATTGAAAGGGAAAAAAGGTCCTTTAATGAGCAAGCCAGGCAAGCAATTGGGAGCAGGCTAGTGCCTCAAAGATCTCCCAGCATTTAATTTTGGAAGTACAGAGTTAGAAAGGCCAAAACTACAAAAACCACAAGGATGGAGATCATAAAAGACCTTGTTGAGACAGATATTTTGATTACATGAGAGAATTGTTTTGATTATATATTTCAGAGTCATTTTTGTTACACATCAGGGCCATAGTCAGGGACACAGGAAGGTCCTACTGTACTGTCAACATAGATACAGGTGTCAGGAGACTGAAAAGAAAAGATTTTAAGCAAGCATAAAATGGAGTCAGGTCAGAATAAAATGGCATTACTTTGGTTCTTTTACAATTCAGTATGAGCTGTTCCCTCTGCCACACTCTTCTGCCACGATGTTCTGCCTCACCTTGAGCCCCAAGGAATGGAGCTGGCTACCTACGGACTGAGACCTCTGAAACCATGAGCTCCCAAATCAATTTCTCCAATCTTTTAATCATAGCAGCAAAAAAAGTGACTACAACAGTGCCCCCATTGGGTTGCTGCAACTTCTTAAATATACTCTGGAACTCTCAGAGCTACTTTCACTTGCGGGTAGTTGTTAAATTATTGTTTTGTGGGGAAAAGAGCTGGTACCTCCTATTTAGCCATCTTGATGATTTCACTCCTCTTTGATTCTCAGTAATAGATTTTGAGCTGTTTTGTTCTTGACCCAATATCTAATCAAAGATCAAACACTATAGTTAAGTCTCCTTTAATCTAAAACACAGTTTTACCATTTTTAAAAAAATCTTCAGGACATTGACATTTTTGAAGAGTTTGGACATTGTTTTAAGGAATGCCCTTTAATTTGGGCATTTATTTATTTTAATTTGGGTTTGTTTAATTTGCTTTCTCAAATTCGATTCAGATTAAACATTTTTGGCAAAACACCATGTAGAACAGTTTGTGTCCTCCTCAATGCATCACATTAGGGGCATAAATATCAGAGCATTCTATTATTGATGATGGTAAATTATTCATCTATTTAAAACAGTGTCCTCCAAATTCTCCATTGTAATGGCACCTTTTTCCATTTGTAGTTAATAAGTAAGCTGCTATTTTTGGAAAGTTGGACTATCGTACACAACTTAGTATCCCATAGAACCCATGAACAGATCTAAAAAAAGACCTTGAATAGGAAAAGGAATGCAACTCTTTGTACCCATGAGTTTTGAATTGTGTCTTGCCTGCACAATTTTCTTGCCTGACATTTGTTATACAACCAAAGTAGAGAAATACAATGAATTGTGAAGGTGTTTTTATTCAATGTGAGGAGAATTTAAAGCAATTCTACTTTGTCTTTCTTCCTTTTCCTACCTTGCCTAGGTATTTTGAAGTATTTGTGTATATTTGCTAGTGAATGTGTTATGAGAAAGGATGAAGGATAGAGACTCTTATTTACTTACGATCATTTGTCTCCCTGACTGTATCCATAACAGACTATGAGCAACTTGAAGATAAGGCTAACTTAGAATATAAAACCTATTAAGTTTTGAAGAAGTAGAACTGAGAAGTTTAAAGTTAAATAGTTGGTCATGTAGTAAGAAATGTTTGGACTAATAAATAATAGCAATTATTGATTTTTTACCTGCAAAAGTAGCAGCTTACTAAACAATTCCATAGTTGATTATATGTTGTGCTACACTTTTCATTCCTACTTCTCACAGCAGGTGTAGCTGGTTTGCTGGAAACTCACACATGGATCTATCTATAATATATTCCTGGAACTATATTAGGATCAGTCTCTCCACTTCATCCCCTGAATAAAGACACTTCAAAATGTATTCAAACTGTTCAAACACTAAACTATTCAAGTCAAAAATGCATGCTATTTTATAGAAATTTTGCTCTAAAGTCTTCAAGGCTTAAAAATCAGCAGGGTACATCCCACTACCCAAATTACAATAATATAATCATCTTCAAAAGATTAAAATAGGTAAGCCTTGACACACCATATTAATTATTTTCCCTTCATTAAATATTGATCATGACGTGACAGATATGAACACTCAGTTTTTAATCAATTTGTTGTTTTGTGTTTTGTTTCTTTTTCTCAGTACTGGGATTTAAATCTAGGGGTGCTTTACCACTGAGCTACATCCCAGGCCTTTTTAAATTTTTGAAACAGGGTCTCATTAAGTTGCCCAAGCTGGTCTCCAACCTCGCAGTCCTCCTGCCTCAGCCTTTCCAAGTTGCTGGGATTACAGGCAAGTACCACTGCATGAGGGAGTTTTCAGACACTTTGATGCAGATGTTTCAATTTTTCCTGATTCATTTTGACAGCAAAAGATCAGTATCTATAATTTTTAAAGATATGCCAGCCTAAAAGAATGCTTCACCTTACAATTTCTGTGAACACAAATAACATAGAGCGTGAATGTGGCACCCATAATCACATGGGCCACAAATGGTAAATGCTGGAATCCTGCAGAAGGCAGGCAATCCAAAGCAAATGTCTTACCAGATCTCTACCAGTAGAGGACAGTCTTCTTCCTCCAAACCACGGAGTGAGCTCCAAAGTGCACATAAAGAAAATATTTTTAAAGTTTTATTTTTAAATAAATAATAGTTTTATCCTCCCCTGCTCTTGAAAAATTTGCTGTCTAGTAAACTGAGATATTAAGTAAACACAAAATACATGCCCTAAAATGGTACACCATGTAAAGTGCCAAGGTCAATAAAGTTCTGGAAGATAAGTGAAAGTCTCTGGACATTTAAGCTTTAATCTAAAGGATAAGAAGGAGTTGGCAGAGAGGAGCAAATTTTTAGTCATGCAATCCGTGCAAGAGTTAGCCAAGACAGGGAAGAGCTTGCTTCCTGAGGAAATGTAAAAGGTCTGTAAGACTGGAGCCTTCTAGAGGAGAGATAAAGGCTGGGTGGACTTAGAAGACCATGGGGACACATACAAGGCTGAAGACAGGTAAGGATTTTAGATTTTATCCTAAAATGCAATAGCAAAGCCAGTCACTGGTTTGAATCAGGAGTAAAAACTCAAGTCATTTACCATTTGAATTTTTCATTAGCCTTGATAACCTAAAAATGTATCCTAATGATATACACACTGCAAAGGAAGATTTCAGCTGAGCATGATGGATTCCACCTGTAATCCCTGAGACTCGGGAGGGTGAAGCAGAAGGATCCTAAATTCGAGGCCAGCCTGGCAGTTTAGCGTGGTTCTAGGCAACTTAGAGAGACCATATCTCAAATGAAAAGATCTGGGGATGTTGCTCAGTGGCGAAGCGCCTGTGGGTTCAATCTCCAGTGCCAATTTTAAAAAGGGTGGGGGGGGGGCGAGATTTCAAAAGCAGATTTTAAAAGGAAAGTAAGCAATCACAACATTTCTGGATTTCTGGGATTCTTGACAGATCTGGAGTGTTGTGTTTGAAAGGCCAGTGTGTGAGTGTGGTTTTGAGCAGTTAAAAATCCAGGTGTCACAGCAAGCGGTCACGGTTGTCAGCCAGGTGGTCGCAGCGATCGCGAAGCGCTGGTTTTGTAGAAAAGCTGGAGAGCGTGACGTGCTGAGAAGATCCACGTGGCATCAGGCCCATCAGCCAGGTGCGGCTCAGCAGCCAGCTGGGCTGAGCGCCCAGTGCCGCACCCCGGGCTCAGGGGCCAGCCAGGCAAGCTACAGTGGGAGATTTGCCTCCAAGAACAGGTTTACTCACGTACGCAGACTCGCGCTTGCGCTTGCGCACGCGCACTGCTGTCGGACACCTGGGGCCCTGCCTCAAGATTGGTCCTCTTGGGCCACCGTCGCCCACCCGGCAGTAGCGTATATAGATGCCTTTCTTGCAAGGTTGGAATAAGACGTTAAAGGTGTTGATTTCTGATTTGGAGGACGCGAAAGCAACAGAGATCCTCCCCGCTCTCCTTTCGCCCACTGACCCCCGACCTTCGCTCAGACACTTTGCAAGAGCCCCAGCCCGGCATGAACCTTCCGGCGCGGCAGTCCCAGAGCCCACTTGCAGCCATCCTCCTTGGTTGCTTCTAGGCCTGGCTGCGAGGAGTGGGACTCCCAACCTTTGTTGGGAGACAAAGAACAAGAAAAGGGAGCCTGGAAAATTAACTGGCACAGAGGGTAAGATTTAGACAAGGCTGATGGCTTTAGGGATTGCGGAGTGTCCCGTGTAGCTGCGCTGCAAGAGTGCTCTAATGTGCCATAAACATGATGTCTCGATTTTCTAGACTTCAGGTTAATTTCTCACGCCTAGCTGTCACATACAACCCACCCTTCCCTGCTCCCATTGATGCACTGATTAAAAAGAAGAAAATAAAATGATCCCCACCCATTGTACCAGACCAAATTCTGGAAGTTTATTCAGTGACTTGATGGGTACATTAGTGACTAAGTAACTTATTCAAGGTAACATTGACAACAGGTGGCAAAGTCAGAATCTGAACTCCGATCTCGTGGACTCTAGGGGCTGTGCTATGAACCAAGATGCTAGAGGACTCTCAGAAATGTTTAGTCCCAGCCCTAATTGAAGCCAGCTTAGACCACAGTGCTGACGAATAAAGCATACCAGATGCTAAGAGTCAAAAAAATAGAACCAGAAGTCAGTAAATTATTTAAAGTAAGACTCCATGGGTATCTGGGTTTTAGTTTCCTTATCTGGATGAAACAGAATTGGACCTGCTGAAGTCCAAGATCTCTCCCAGCCCTAATAGTCTAGGAATTCTAGAGAATATAATTGGTAATTTGCTGGTTGCCATCTAGAATATCACAACATTGTCTTCTGGGTGATGAAGACTTTTAGATTGATAAACATAGATGAAGCAGCACCAAGGTGAACTGGCCTCACCATTGCTGATTTGAAACTAGGTTCTAAACTGCTTGGTGCACGAGGACAGAGAGAAATGCTGATGGTTGCCTGGTAGATGACTGTGAAATAATCCCCCTTTTCATTCTCCCCTCAACCCCCTTCTGCCAGACAAAACTTAATTGTGTCACATTGGAAGAAAAACAGACTCTTGAGACAGGAGTAAATCTGTAGTCAAAAAGCTACAAACCACTTTGTAAAGAGCCCTCACAACACATCTGGCCGACTAGCTACTTCTGGAATTACTAAGAATCCAATGAAATTTACATTTCACCTTTCAAAACAAATGTAACCAAACAAGGAGGACATTACAGCCCCTGCTTAAGGAACATTTGCTGACTTCTTTTAAACCAGAGGCAGATGACAGAAGTGCAGAACAAGGGGAGTTTTAAGCAAAAGCTGCAACTATTTTTTTCCACTCTGGAACTTTACAATAGACAGATCAGAATAGGTTACTGAAGAGGATTCTGTTTGTGAGTAAATTGGCTTTTAGACTCAAAGGCCTTCACTCCCCTGAAATAGGATGGGACTTTCTTCAATTTGAGATATAATAAAAATGCTTCCCATTATGACAGACCCTTAGATGGAAGTATGCATCTTTGCCTCAAACACTCAAAATCACATGAGGGGCTTGGTTTGGACATAAGCTCAGTTTGTGCTGGAATAACCTTCAGTAGCTGTTATTTGTTTACATTTCATATGTTCATGTGAAATTTTATATGTTATGTCAATAGGAAGACAAAGAATTTCCATTTAAGGCAATTTGACCCATCTTATGGAAACTCTCCCTGTTTTCACTTCAGATATCCTTTTGTAGAATGCAGCAGAGGAGGGGGCAGGTTGAAATTAATTTAACTCCTTGCCAGTATGCTTGGCTTATGGAGCTCTAGACTGAGTTCTAGATGAATAGCATTCATTCATTTTCATCTTTAAGCTCCTTGGAGATAGGATTTCACAATCTACTGGATAAACCACACATTAAATAACCCCTTACCTTTGGAATTGTTTTCATGGCCCTAATCTAATCTTTCCTCCATTATATAATCTTAGATCTGGAAAATAAAGGTAAATGTATAGATGCTTCCCAACTAACAATGGAGTTACATTCTAATAAACCCATCATAAATTTAAAATATTCTAAGTGGAAAATGTATTTAATGCACCTACCCTACTGAACATCCTAGCTTAACAACATAGCACATTGTAGAGAATCAGTTTTCCCCTGTGATCACAGGGCCGACTGGGAGTTGAAGCTCACTGAAGCTGCTCAGCATCTCCAGAGAGGATCAGGCCACATATCAGTAGCCCAGGAAAAGATCCAAATTCAATATTCAGAGAGAGGTTTCTACTGAATGCATACTGCTTTCCCACCATTATAAAGTTGAAAAACAGTGAGTTGATCCATCCTAATTTGAAGACTATCTGTATTAGTTTTCCACAAATTTGATGAATTAAAACAGATTAACTTACAGTTTTGTACACAAGAAATCCAAAACAGTCACAGGGCTAAAATTAAGGTGTTGACAGTGCAGTGTTCCTTTCTGGAAGCTGTGGGAGTGGGCCTTTTGCTTACCTTTTATTTTAGAGGCTGACCACATTCCTTGGTTTATCGCCCCCTATCTCCATCTTCAAAACCAGCAGTGTTGCATCTCTGACCATTTACTCTGAACCAGTAAAGTTCACTGATTTTAAGGACATGTGATTAGATTAGGCCCACTGTTTTGGTTTTTGTTTTTGGAAGGAAAAATAGAAACGTACCACACCGGCAGATACTTACTGTGAACAAACCAAGAACAAACGTTACCTCAAGGCTAAAGCCAATGATCCCAAAATTGGACATGAGTCAGCAACAAAAGTCTTTTACTAATAAAACTCCTGACTGGATGAAGTGCTTATAATACTTTATGTTGATATTTATGAAGCACTTTAAAAAAAATTTATTTTAGTTGTAGATGGAAACAATACCTTTAATTTATATTTATGTGGTGTTGAGGATTGAACCCAGTGCCTCACACATGCCAGATGAGTGCGCTACCACTGAGCCACAACCCTAGCCCCTTATGAAGCACTTAAAACAATGTGCCAGGGACATTTAGTGTATGTGTGCACTACTTGGTAGGTGCTATTGTTCATATTTTACGAATGAGACTGATGGCCAGAAAATTAAAGTTTTTCTTGGTTGTGGAGGGTACCAGGGGATTGAACTCAGGGGCACTCAACCACTGAACCACATCCTCAGCCCTATTTTGTATTTTTTAAAAATATTTTTTTAGTTGTCAATGGACCTTTTTTTTTTATTTATTTATATGTGGTGTTGAGAATTGAACCCAATGCCTCACACATGCTAGACAAGCGCTCTAACACTGAGCCACAATCCCAGCCCCTATTTTGTATTTTTATTTAGAGACAGGGTTTCACTGAGTTGCTTAGCACTTTGCTTTTGCTAAGGCTGGTTTTGAACTCGTGGTCCTCCTGTCTCAACCTCCCAAGCTGCTGGGATTACAGGCATGTGCCACCTCACCCAGCTAAAATTAAGGTTTTTGCATGAGGCCCCCTGACCCATTATGTGGCAAATTTGGAATATGAGCTGACATCTGTCACCAAAGTCTGTGTTTTTAATCATTATAATTGCCTCTCAGAGCATTCTGCTCACATGGAGTGCTGGTTGCAGATCTGGCTTTGGCCAAAGGGTTTGCAAACCTTAAGAGGATTCAAAGGCCAGCAGTGAAGAAATAGGATTTAACCTGAAGAAGAAAACACTGAAATGCAGCCAGGTGCAATGGTGCATGCCTGTATTCCCAGAGACTCAGGAGACTGAGGCAGGAGGATCACAATTGAGACAGCCTCAGCAATTTAGGGAGGCCTTAAACAACTTAGCAAGACCCTGTCTCAAATTTAAAACAATAAATAAATGAAAAAAAAGGACTGGGAATGTAGCTCAGTGGTGAAGTGTTCTTTGTAATAATACACATGTATCTATGTGCATGTGTTACATTTAATAATTTATAACTTCTCTACCTATAAACACCTGTATATTTGGAGTATTTTTTAAAATAACTTGTTACTGGAAGTAATGTGCAATCAAAATAGTTTAAAGGCTATGTTTCTAAATTTGTTTCCTCTAGGCCAATCTATGAACTTGCACTTCTCAAAATCAAAGGTCTATAATCACATCTCTGAAAAGTTCCTTCCTCCCTTATATTCAATATACATTTAGAGAACATCCACTATGTCCCAGCTCCTGCTAGGATTTGAAAATACAAAAAAGAAGCCAGGCATGGTGGCACACACCTGTAATCCCAGTGATTTTGGAGGCTGAGGCAGTAGATAACAAGTTCAATGATAGCCTCAGCAATTTATTGAGATGCTGTCTCAAAATAAAAAAATAAAAAGGTCTGAAGATGTAGCTCAGTGGTAAAACACCCCTGGGTTCAATTCCCAGTACCAAAAACTAAAAAGTTGAGATGCAAATCACAGCAATCTTAGCTTATCTGATGGCAATTAGGATCAAGGAATAGAAGATTCAGAGTATACCAAAATTGAATTGAGATTCTTCTAGAAGTACAGGCTGCTAAATATGGGTGGCAGTTATGAAGGCACACTACTTAAAAGAGCATAATGGACTAGTAGACTTCAGTTGCCACACTATTGCATCAGCCTCAGTACTCAAACCCAAACTTCCCTGCCCCTTAGCCAGGGATGAAGCATGTAGGTAGTCCTGGAACTGGGCCATTTCTGCCCAGAGAACTCCTTTGTCAGTCTGAAGGACTCCCTACCTGAGCCTCTCAGAACTCACTCCAGGCAAAAGCTTTTCCTATCTAAGCCTCCTTCCTTCCCTTTCTTCTCTCAAACATGTCAGATCTACATGATGACCTGGAGGTCCTTATCTACTCCTGCTCCCTCCCCATTTATCCTTAAATATCCAGTGTTTCCACAATCTATCTCTTGAATGTATAATTCTGTCTTGGTGCTGCTTCTCAGAGACCTAAATTGACACAAATATTGAGTGTGTGATGAAAAGGAAATAACAGCTTTGGTCTTCATAAGCCTTAGCAATTAACTGAATGAGAATTTTTAAGTGCTGGTTCCTGAGAATCTAAGAGGATGTGCTTTTCAGACAGTCCATCTTTTACACCTGAGTCTAGGAGTCCAAGTTTACTTTAGTGTTTAAATATAACAGGTTAAATGTTCCTAGTTTATTTTAGTGTTTTAAGTCACTGTAATAAGGGCCTAAGAAATATGGCCTGAAGGTATTCAT